GGGGACCCCGGGCGGCGGGCGCCAGGGAGACATCATCAGCGGGCGGGCGGGGGGGAAAAAACCCAACCCGCGACAGCACCTTTCATCCGAACATCTCGGGATGCGTTGCAACCCCTAATCAGGCCTCAGAAGACCCCTCTCAGATCAGCAAGGGATAAGCAGGCATCGTTTTCACCCGCAGCCGATAAGCCGCGGCCCCTGGGGACAGCGAGCGGAGCCGGCAGCTGGCTCACAGCAGGTCGAGGAAGCAAGGGAGGAAGGAAAAAACCCGCGTGCAATCGAAAGGGCAGGGAGAGCTGATAGGGAGGGACACGTTCACTTACGAGAGCTCCGGACAGGACGTCAAGGTCAATCTCCCAGATGCTCACAAAAAGCGACACGGGCTCGCTGATGGCTGCGAGTCGTCCGAGCGAGGGCGAGATGAAACGTTTCCGAAAGGAGCGGTATGTGCCAGCACGCCACGCGGCGAGCCGGGCCCGTAGGTCTCAACGCTGAGGGTGGGGTTAACCAGCGGCACCAGCTGTTTTATACATCATCATCATCAACTAAATTAATATTTTGTGAAAAGTGCCCACTTTCCATGGAAAGTTTCAGGTTTGGGTTTTTTTTTTTTTTCATCAGAAGAAAAAAAAAAAAAAAAAACCCAAGTGCCAGAAAGCCAGTATAGCCTGGATTTCAGCCAGAACTTTTCACTGTTTGAATTTCCACCAAAAATATCAATTCTTTCGCAGGAAAGAAACCTCATATTCTAACTGCAGCCAGAACCATGACATTAAGTCTCCTGTACTGCATGACGGGGATCCCAGGCAGCTGCGGGCCCCCGAGTTTGGCCCACACAAATGGCTGCTCTCTCCAAAGGTTTTGGCACACTGCGGGGCCGAGAACTTCAAAAAAGCCTGGCCGTTTACGTTTGATCCTCAGAGGAAGGCGAGCCCTCCTGAAAACTGGCCCTCAGCCATCCCGGAGAGTCCCCCCTCCGCGACAGTCCGGGGCCTTTCTTCCAGACCCCGAGCCAACTTGTTCTGCTCGGTGGCGAGACCTTCCCTTCTCCCAGGCTGTGCCAAACACATGCTTTGCAGAGGACTCCGCTTGATTTCTAATTAAAGCCAGGAGACAAGCGTGTTAGCAGGACCAGACACTATCCAGGTCAGATCAAAGCGTTCCTGCAAACATCAGCAGCGTGAACATCAGAAGAATGAGGTAAACTTCTAGGTAACGACTTTCGCTTTCTAATTGCTGCTAAGTCGTATTATCACATGTGTCACAGCTGAATTTGAGTCAACGTCCAAACGGCCAGAGGGAGCTTTACCTCCAGAGCCCTTCTCCGCTCAGGAAAACAGTAGCACGAGAAGGCCGTACTAGGAAACTACCTTTGCAATCGCAAGAAATTTGTCCTAGAAATTTGATTTTGCAGAACTCACGAGCGCCAGCGGGACCACGGGAACACACTGAGCCCGTCAGACGTGGCCCAGGGGTCAGATACTCGACACCTACTGTCCTCCAGGCTGCTTCGCTGTCCCGTGGCCACAGCGAAAGCGCTGGGATAGCTCAGCCAACTAACGGAAAAGGAATGAGACGACACTGGCAGGAAGGACGTTGCCAGCCACCCTTGCGTGACCCCATCCTAAGCAGCTCCAGGGTGAGTCACGTCGCCTTTGCGACGCAAGAGCAGATGGGTGGGCGAGGAGGAGTCAGACGACTAGGGATTTCTCCCAACGCAACGACAAGCCCAGCGGTGGCCGTCTGCGCTCTCCCCGGAAGGCCTCGGGAGGCACAACGGGGCTGGCGCCGGGAGCGACCCGGCGGAGCGCCGACCGCGGGCGCGTCCCGCTCCCAGCCCCCTCGAGCATCGACCGCGCTTGCCAAACCACCGCTTACGTCCTCCCGGCGGACACCGACAGAGCACCTGCGTTACGGGCCGCGGAGGTGGAAGCACCAGCGCAGGGCTGAGGTGTTGTTTTCACCACGGCATCGTTTCCTTCGTCCACCAAAGGCTCTTTCCATGATGTCTCATGGGAAAACCAGGGTGCCCTGAAGGCCTGGAGGTTCAAGAGCAGCTGCAACCACCACCAATAGCTGCTGGGACAGGAGTAACAGTTTTACTAGGGCTCTTGAGCCCTAACAAGAAGCGCTCGACATAGCCTAGGACCAGACCCGAGGAGAGGCAACACGAGGAAGGTTGGCAGCGTGCGCGGCGCTGTACAAAGATGAACCGAAAACATTCATCCCCGACACCTGAGCCACGCATCTCGAGACCTCGGCCTTCTTCAGGCTGGTGAAAACACAACAAAACACGCAGATTTACGGCACTAACCACTGCCCCAGAGCGTGCCCGAGAGCAAGGGAATTCCAGCCCCAGCTTGCACAGGTGAGAAAGGCATAAACACGGACGCAGTCGGAATTAATCCATCGCATCGCTCTGGATGCCGTGCTGCACTACACGGTGTCCATGGAAACCGCATGCACCGTCCCACCCCGCTCCCCCTGCCTTATAAGAACTCATAGCAACCGCTCCAAACAGAACACTAATGCAAAAGGAAAAAATTATTCAAATGGATCACAAACAGCTTATGTTAGGAGAGACTCTGCGCCAAATTCTGGCTTGATTCTCTCCGGCGAAGCCTAGAGGGGAGGTCACTGGGATGGCGAGCAGAGCGAGTGATTTGGGTTTAAGGCACTGGAGCCCTCCGAAACTAGCGTCTTCAGGGCACGCGCACCTGCATCGCAACTCCATCTCACGGCAAACGTGCAGGCAACAAGCCAACAAATGGATGTCAGGGTGAGCCCCTGCAGCAGAGAGAGAGGGGGGGGGAAAAAAAAAAAAAGAAGATGTAAACATGCATTTTATGCTGTTTTAGATCAGCCCTGGGAAACGAGGCACCCACGTTCAGCCCTTCCTGCGTCCCTCAACTTCAGCAGCAGCGAGATGGGCCCTCAGACTGCGAGCGCTTCAGAACAGGGGCTGTTCATAGCTTCACATCTTGCACGGAGCCAAGCGCCGTGTCAGTGGTAAGCAAATCAAAAATAATGTCAGAATCGACTCTCCCACCCATTCCAAGATGAGCATGAAAAAAATAATGATATTTTACTCACCCATCAAAAGAAAATTACTCACGCCAGGCGCGTGGGCGAGCAGAATTCTGCAAGGCTGTTTTAGGCCCTGACTATGCTACAAAAATATCCATTTTAAGCATGGTTGTGAAACAAGGTTGTGGCTCAACTATAACATTGTTTTTTAGCTACCTGTAAGAAAAAAATGGGGGGGGGGGGGAAAATAATAATTAAGAAATAACCATGTGATAATTCACCCAAAGCATCGGGATCGCTCTCCCGCTGCTCCTGCGGCTAAGAGGGATGCCTCGCTCTGCTCCCGCGAGCTGCTCCAGCCCCGGACTCGCGCGACGCCGCAGGGACCCGAGGCGCCTGCGCCGGCCAGTTTGCAGGGGGCCAGCACACAGCGTTTGGGTCTCGCTGCTGTGTTTTCTTGGGGACGTTTCGGCAACGCGCAGGGCGTCTTGGACGGGGTACTACGCAGGCTGCAGTATCCCCCAGCTAGCGTCTGGGCAGACATCAGCCACGGGTACCTCGCTCACCGCTTTGGCATCCGGTTGCCTCATCCAGTCTAATGTTATCCAATACTTATCTCCAGATCCCGGTTTCGTTGAAACCTGGACAGAAGGGAGAGCGTTGCCACTGACCACAAGCAGACTGTGATTTGGGCTCGGGAAAAATAACAATATTGATTCACCGGAAAAAAACCCGCGCCTCGGTCTGTGTTTGCATAGCACCTACCCAACGTGGCCACAGCGCAGCTCCAAAGCGCAGAAAATGAAATTAATAACAACCTACTCTTGTGCTACAACCCAAATAGGCCTGCCACCTCCCAGCTGTTCCCAACACCCATCCTCCCAAGACCTTCTCCAAGGCGATTTCAGCCCTCTGTAACAGTCCACAGATCCACAGCAAACGGTCCTTTCTGGGACTGCTAGCTAAACTCCGGCCTTCTCTTCCCACCCCCGCCAGCCCCAAATATCTTGGAAACCCGTTTACATCAACGGTCTGCCTGAATCTCAGCTGATAAAGGTCTGGGGAGCTCAGTATCACAGAGCCGCTCCTGACTTGAAACGAATGCCAGCTCTTCGGTGCACTCAGTAAGAGCTCCCTGCCAACCGGCACATGGTTTAGCAGTCCGGCAGTGGCAACCCCCCGTGCAGACCAAGAATACGCTGCCCTGCCACAAGAAAACACGTGCTTCGCAGTGGCTCACTATCAACATTTGCTTAACATATTTTTTCTCCCAGTAAATACCAGCTGTTGCAGCGGTGCCGAGACGCAGCACTGAGATATCTATCCGTCACGCTACTAAAACCCCCTCCCCTTCGGCAAAATCACCTGCCAGAGCAGGAGAACCGAAAGAGGAGGCATTCAGAAGTCTGCTCATGAGCTCCAATAGCATTTGGCTTTATGCAGTTCCAAGAACCTTAAAAACCCTTCAGAGTGTCACAAATTAGACGCTCGCAAGCAATTGAGGATGATGACACAGTAAAAGCCCTCGCTTTGGTTCTCTTCGTCTTTTTAAAAGAAACGATGGCTAGGGTAACCGCTGGGGTGTTTTCCTCTCCTCCAAAACACATCACCTCACCGGAGGACAGCCTCGCACCTTGTCAGCCCTGAGGAAGAGGGGGATGCGGATGGAGACAGGGACTGGGAGCGGAGGTCGCCCGGCACGAAGGACTAAAGCCGGGTACCACTTGGGTTACCTTTAGCAAACCGTGCTCCGCCAGAAAAGCTGCCGAAACCACGGAAAAGCTGTGTTTAAAGAAACCAAGGCGATGACAGAGCCACTAAGTCCCCGGTGCGCAACCAACGTTCACACCAAACAGCCTACCCGTCGCAGACAGGTTGGCACAGCTTCCAAACCTGCCAACCACCAACTTCTTGACCCTGCAGCTTTTCACTTAAGAGACTATAACCCAAGGCACAAAGCCTTAAGGAAGCCACTCTTCTTCACAAAGATTCAGAAAACATGGCATCTGTTCGTAAAAGGCTGTTTCCCAAAACAAGCCTACTTGTGCTCTAAATAAAGCTTAGCCTAGAAGTCAAGAGAGACAGCACTGCCTAAATCAGGAAATTGGGGTTTTATTCTAGCCGTTGTCACTAGATGGTCATGTAGCCACGGGCTTAACTCACACGCTCTCTTGATCCAAGCTCCCCCCCGGTCTGTATAATGGGAATTATACCGTTGCCATTTCTGACGTGGTGCAGAGAGCCCCGCCGGTCAAGTTTGGAAAGAATTAGAAAAAGTAAAGGATGACCACCACACAGTTCAAAACGCATCTACCATCCAGCTTGCAAACAACCTCTTTGCTCTTTAATCTCTGGGGATCCTAAAGAGTTTTGCAAAAATTAATCAGGCCTGGAGAGGTAACAAGTCGTAGAGAAGCAAAAACGGAAGCAGAGCTCTTACAAGCCACTTTCTCCAGCCTGCATTACGGGACAGAGCCGACAATAAAACTTCAGAGCCCTGATGCTCTCGGTCCCTTTGACTAATCGCTGCAGCAAAGACCCCGGTGACCCTTGCAAAAAGGGGCTTTGAGCCTGCTGACAGGGGTCTAACGATACGCTTTGTTGGAGAGAGGCACACGCTCAAGCCAAACAAATAGCAGTAGATCCGCCGCACAAAGAAAACTTCAGTCCTGGAGGCGTGCAACAGGGCTCACCCGCTGCGCCAGCATCTCAAAGGCGCCGAAGCGGTATCAACCGCTGGACGTTTTTCACTCTGACGTCCGGGGAGCGGGGCAAAACCCCCGGGACAATGGTTTCCCTCGGACAGGCAGGACGCGCCGCTCGCTCGGGGGCGGGGAAAGGGGCGCGCGTCAATCGGCCGATTCATTCGGAGGCGCGCGGCGGGACCCCGGCGGGGCCCC